GTTGATTCTTGTATGTGCCCCCTGACCAGGGATCGAACCTGCAACCTTGGCGTATCAGGACGACACCCTGACCAGCTGAGCTACCTGGCCAGGGCTGCACTGGCTTGAGTTTTGTAAGCCCGTGTAGGGCAGGGGTCCCGTTTCAGTTTCCTGTAGACCAGCGGTTCTCAACCTGTGGGTCGCGACCCTTTGGGGGTCGAACGACCCTTTCACAGGGGTTGCCTAAGACCATCTGAAAACATAATTACATACTGTTTTTGTGATTAATCACTATGCTTTAATTATGTTCAATTATGGCTCATCTGGTTTCGGCCACCAGGAGGCTCATAACTAGTCCATACTCCTCGTAGCCCTATTGCCTTGGGAACTTTTTTTTTTTTTTTAAATGACTGTTCTCAGGCTCACTGCAGACCTATTGAGCAGAAACTCCGGGCCTGGGGCCCCGCCGTCTGTGTTTGAACAAGCTCTCCCAGGCGATCCTGCTGAGCTCAAGTTTGACTTCTTGGGCTTAAAGGTTTAATCCATTTACTCTCCCTCCCTACCACCCCATGATAATATATTTTAAGAATCGTTATCTGTCTTTCGTGGCAGGCTGCTGCCCAGTCTTTCTTGAGAAGTTGGTAGGGGTATACATTATAAATAGCTACATCTAGTTGCTTTTTCCCCAGTATCCAGAGGAGAAAAGCGGGCAGTTAACCTGGCCCAGGTCACTCAGCAAGTAGGAGATAAAGCTGGAACCAGAGGCCAGGTTTCCAACTCCGTCACACCTAGACTTTCAGGGCGCGTCCATGGATCATAGGCTTCTGAGGGCTGGACACAGTGTCTCCTTCTTCAACTCAAACCACCATCACTGCTCCGGGTACAGGTAACCGGTAGTCACACCCTCACCCTCCAAGCTTCCCAAAGAACTGCGGGTGCACTCCCCTGGAGCACGTGCGCCCTGCTAGGCTCAGCCCCCAGAGCAGCGCGGGGGGGCTGCCCCGCCCCCTCCTTCTCGGTAAACTCCGGGCATCCATCAGTCTGTTAATTGCACTAATTAGAGATCGCGGAGGTGTTAATTGGAAAACCCTGGTATTGTGCCTGTTTGGGGAAGAAACCGTCAATAAAAATTAATTGATGAGTTGGCTGGGCCGGCAGCGCAGGTTCGCAGCGAGGCGCCGGGTGTCGTGGCAAATGTTAGGGCTCAGACTAAGCGATTGTTAATTAAAAAGCTACAGTAATTAATACTCTCTTACACCATATGGGCCCGCGGAAAAGGCACAAAGGTTTCTCCACGTGTAGGACTCCCCATCCTTTTCCCCCTCCCCCGAAGGCACCCTGGCCCTTGGGTCCTCCCTTTGGCCCCAAGGCAGGTGGAGCTCATCACTTCCGCCAGGGAGGGGACTGGGCGACCCAGAGGAGTTCCGAGGCGTCCCCCACAGCGCACCTTACGGGGTTCTTAGAAGGGCCAGGAGCCTCTGGGGAAGTGGGAGCCCCCAGCGGCCCGCAGACTCCCCCAGAGCGGAAGAGGCCGCTGCGGCTTTGACCCAGCTTCCTTCCTTCTGAAGGCCGGGCTCAAGGCCCTGGGGTGCCCTGGCTCCCGAAGGGGAACCCCAAGAGATGGGAGACTAGGACCTGCCTAAGGGCAGGATCAGAGCCCCAGACGGAAACCCTAGATCACCTGAAATAACTCCCGGTCAGCCGCTCCTCTCTGCCCCAAGCGTGGTTGCAAGAGGGGCCTGGGAAGGCTGGAGTGGGGGTGAGGGCTTCCGTGTATTGAGTCCTAGAAAGATCTCCCAATCCCCCATGTACGCGGTGTATAAAGGAAGAAAGAACAGCCATTAACTTGGGAAAGGCAGTGACTTGCCCAGAGTCCTGCATCAGGCCCCTGAAACCAGGTAGTCCGATTCCCAGGGCTTCTCTCCTCTCTGTGGGTATTCAGCTGCTGTTTGCCAAGAAAATGGGTGACTGGGGGAGGAGCGTGTGGACAGAGGTGGAAGAGCAGAGTGAAGGGAGGAGGGGACTCATGCAGGGTGCCCCCCTTACCGGGGCAGGAAGCTCAAGTCTGCTCTCGCCTTTTGAGACTAGCTGTAACTCAGATGAACCCTCACTGGCTCCCTCCAGCCACTAGAACAGTCTGGCTTCATGTCCACGTGCTGGGCCAGGGAATTAAGAGACCGTCAGGACCACCTCTCCATGTAGAGACGGGGAAGTGGAGGCCCAGAGGAGGAGGAAGGCAGTGTGCACAGCTGGCTGTGGCCGCGCTCAGGCTGCCTGACACCGAGGCCCCTGCCTTCTCCTCTAGCCAGGGTCCAGGTTCGCATGACACGCTTCCTCCGCTACACCCCACATTCTTGCAGTTGCAGGGCATGGATATCAAGTCTTACCTCCAGCACCCCACCCACCCCAACCCTAGCAGGCTGGGCCCCAGGCACCGGAGCTGCTCACCCATAGTGCAGGGAACACCCCAGTGCTATTGCAACACCCCATGGAGAGGTGAGCTGGAGGCTTGAGGCCGATGGTGTGCTCATTCTCAGAGGGCGGACGTCGCAGGGCAGAGGTGAGCGTTCCGACGCCTGGGAGCACCAGCCTTGCTGGTTTCAGTGGGTGTAGATGGGCCGGCTGGCTGGAGCGTGGAAAGAGGTGAAGTTCCCAGGAGGGGGCAGAGCGTGCCCCGTGGGAATTAATGCCATTCATACACCCTGAGGAAATGACTTTTCAATGCATATAATCTCAAGCATGCAAATGAGAGGCTTGCTTCACCCTGTTTAATATGAATGATCGGCCCTTGAATAGCTATTATTACACGCCACATTGCAGCAATTATGTTGTTCACTGGGTGTCGCTATACCTCCCCCTGCCCCCCCACATTAAAAAAAAAACCCAGAAAAGAAAGGGACACCTCTGTTTGCATCCTCTTTACTTTTTCTCCCTTTCTCCAAACTTGCTGTCTGGTGTACAACTTTATGGGGTGTGTGTGTGTGTGAGTGTGTGTGTGTGTGTGTGAGTGTGTGTGAGTGTGTGTGTGTGTGTGTGTGTATTAAAAGGGGGGTACTCATTCTTACCCCAGGAAAGTAACTGCTGGATTCTCTTTCCTTTCTCCTGTGCACACACACCCCTGAGGCTCTGGTCTTTGTCCCCTGGGGCCCAGGAGTTCTCAGATCTCAGAGAAGCTAAGCTTGGAATCAGGGCAGGCAGCTGCTCTCCACACACCCCCCCAACCCCCCGCAGGGCCAGTGTTGGGGGAGAGGGAGACTAGAGTATGCCCCTGCTGTCTCCCCACCCCCCCTCTTATAGCTGGGGCCCAGGCCCGAGTGGGGGAAGGTGCTCTGCAGGCTGCCGGGAGGGATCAGGGTGGGTGGTTGGGGAAAGGGGGGCTGGAGCCCTGTGCTCTGGCGGGTGGAGGATGGCGCCCACCCCATCCATCATTTGGCGGCCACTGGCCCTCTGGCTGACACGGCCATTAAGGCCTGAGACCGAGTGCTCAATCTCTTCCGAACCATCGCCCCCAACCTCGCCCTCTGCCTCGCCCCTGGCCCAGCTCCTCTGGCCCCAAGAGTGGGAGCAGCAGCTGGGGTGGGGGGAACACAGAAACGCACAGACACAGGACACTCCAGCAGCACAGGTTCACATAGGAAGCCACACGGAGACGCCTATAGTCACAGAGGGAGAGGGGCCTTACGGGCAGTGGTGTGGATGGCACATGAATTGGTGGGCTCCCAGGGACCCTTAGCAGCTCCCTGTCCTGCCCCCCAGGACCCTCACTTCAACTGGCTTTGCTTCCAGCAGGGATAAAACAGAGCGCGTGGCCTTCTGAGGGGGAAAGGATTCTCCCCGTGGTGCAAGGAGAGAATTTGGGGGCAGGAGAGAGAGGCTCCTGGGAGCTGCATTTTGAGGAGGAACTAGGGAAATGATCCAGTCTTTTCCAGTAGTTTCTCTAATTTGCTACCTGCAGGGCCTCTTGGGTTCAGGAAACCATGTGGTTGTGGGGGTCTGCTTAGGCCAAAGGGAGGGAAGACACTGGCTGACTTTCACAGACCCCACCAGCTGCTCCTGTGGCTTCTGCCCCTTGACCTCTGTGTGACCTGGGCCAAGTCTGTGACCTCTCTGAGCCTCAGGGTCTTCACCCTTACAAATAGGGCCGGCAAAGAAGGGGGTGATTGGAGCTTAACCTGTAGGTGGTTTGTATGTGCTGTTTTATTTACTCTTTACAGGACTCTAGGAAACGGAGTTTTAGGGGGTTTAAGACGTGTGTGGAAGCCCTGGCCGGTGTGGCTCAGTTGAGTGTCATCCTGTCCACCGAAAGGCCACCAGTTCGATTTCTGGTCAGCGCACATGCCCACATGGTGGGCTTAGTCCCCCGATTGGGGTTCATGCAGGAGGCAGTTGATCAGTGCTCCTCTCTCACATTGATGTTTCTCTCTTTCTCCTGTTCCCTTCCTTTCTCTCTCCTTCTCGCTTCCTCTCTCTCTGAAATCAATAAAAACATCTTAAAAAAAAAAAAGACGCGTTGAAGCCCTAGCCGGTTTGGCTCAGTGAATTGAGTGTTGGCCTGCCGACCAAAGGGTCCCCGGTTCAATTCCGATCAAGGATAGGTTAATGCTTGGAATCAAGGGAGGTTGTAGAGTTCATGTGTTAGCAGAAGGGCCATCTTGTGTTGAAGATCAGTGGTGGATACCAGCCATCTCCTGTTTCACTAAAATCCATGTGCCTCTCAAGCAAACTTTGGGGGTAGTTGGAGACACCCCAGACTTTGAGAACAGCTCTGCCTGTTCAGGTTCCCCATCTCAGGGTGGGTGCAAGCCCCTGAGGTAGTGGGACCTCCATAAGTTGCAGAAGGAAGTCCAGGCCTCCTCCCTCTCCTCACTGCCTTGACCGCCCCTCTTTCTGGGAGGCAGTTGGAGTGGGAAAATGAGGGTATGGAATTCAGGCCTTGACCCTTTGCCTCTGTAAATCCCCAAACTCTGGACCCTCCGCTTTCCCATCTGTCAGGTCAGGATGACGAACACTCTCAGTCTTGTGATGAGGAATCATGGTGCCTGTGGAGAGTGTTACTGAGGGTCTGCTTCTGGCCAGACCCCGCCTGCCAGCCTTAGAAGGGAAGGCGGAGAAGTGGACCCTGGCTGCCTCTACTGCACAGCTCCAAGCTGAGTGGCTCCCAGTAGGTGCTGGGCAAATGGCAGCCTTTCTGTTGTGGAGCAGATCTTGATGGGAACCTCAGTGTCCTTGGGAAAAGACTAGGGAGGCCCCTGTCCTGGGGAACTCCCCGCCTCCCTGCCCCGGGGAACTCCCCGTCTACAAGCACAATGGCCATTACAGGTGTTTGTGCCAAAGGAGGAGGGGAGATAGTGAGTCCCAGTGAATAGCTCATCTGCTTTTAAGTTCTTGCTGAAGCCTCGCCCCTCCCTCCCATCCCCCCATGCCATGACCAGGAGGGAGCGGCCGGAATAGGTTTGGGGGCAGCATCTCCCCTGCCCTGTAGAGGTCTTCTGGAAGTCAAGTTGAGAAAAAGTTTGGGGAGGTGGGGGCAGCTGCATTCTGGAGCTGCCCCTTATCCCAGCCTAGGGGAAGGGTGACACTGGGAGAGGTTGCACTCCAAGAAGGGTCCCAAGGAAGAGGTGCCCCAAGCCTGGGGTGGGGTGTTAGGTGGGGGTGTTGAGGGACATGGTTGCTGCCCAGGGTAGAACCCGCACCTGCTCTACCCACTCAGCCCCTTCCCGTCTCTCCTCCCGCTCCAGGTCCCGCTAGAGCGACATGATGGTGGAATCTGCCTCGGAGACAATCAGGTCAGCTCCCTCTGGTCAGAACGGCGTGGGCAGCCTCTCCGGGCAGGCCGATGGCAGCGGCGGTGCCGGGGCTGCAGGTGCTGCTGGAGGCGGTGCGGGCAGGGACGCAGCTGCGGGTGCTGACAGCAATGGCGAGATGAGCCCTGCGGATCTGCTGCACTTCCAGCAGCAACAGGTAGGAGCTGGCGCCCCTCCTCAGCCCCCGGGGACAGGGAGAGGGCACGCCAGGCCTCTTCCCACTCCATCCTGGCCACTGGTGCCACTGCTCCGGGCCAGGCAGCTTCCCTTTAACAGTCTTGGGAAGATCCAGCTCCCAGGGACTCCCTGTGTGCCCTCTGTGCTAGTGGCCACCTTAACCAAGGGAGAGCTGAGCTTTCCAGAGAAAGAAGTAGGACTCGGGGTCCTGAGATCATAGCGCTTCGGGCAGTCTCAGAAGTGCCCACCGGGACAGACAGACTAGGGAAGCAGGCCTGAGTGCATCCTGGGTGGGCGGGCACCTGGGCCCTCCTGCCACTGGCTAAGCTAACAGGATTGGGGAGAAGACCCTCCCTTTAGAAGTGTGTCCACTGGGGAACGGGGGCTGGGCACATAGGGGTATCTCCGCCTTAT